GAAATGAAAGGATGGCACACTTTGCCTCCACCTCTTTGGGTCAATTTTCCAAGATGCTCCATGTGACTTTCATCTCAAACACAATATCTACCAATTGATAAATGTAAATACCAGTATTTTGAAGGAAAACTTTTACCTCCTAAGGGGTAAAAGCGAGGGCAGAGGCTACATAGTACCCAGCCTCTCCTCTAGAGGTTAGATGTGAGGCAAAAACCGATGGGTGTTAAGTGAGTGCATGAACTAACTTTCCAGACTTGGCTTGGAGCCTTGCCCAGGGCTCTGCCCAGACCAATTTCTATTGACTCGGCTTTCAAGATTTTTGAATTAGCTGTAGAAAGCACTTTCCTTTGCCTAGGGTGGGAGCAGGCAGTCCAGCCACGTCCAATCCCATCGAGCATTATTTACAAGTCCCGACAGCTTGGCTCTTTAAGATGATGTGTTCAGTCTACAGAAGAGCAAACTTATTCCCTGGGAGGGTGACTGTAACTGGAGCAGGATCTGGGTTTAGTCTCAGACAAAATTCAATATGCACAGGCAAGGACAGAGGTGCTCATCCCTCCAGAGGCTGGACCACAGCGTGAGGTTGTCTGAGTCACTGTGACTCTGTAAAGAGAAGTCTTTGCACCTGGGCTGTGCCTCATGCTTTATAAAGCACTTTTACAGAGATGATCTCATGTTAATTCTCACAGTGACCTTGCAAGGTAAATATTATTAACTTTCTGTGTTTTAAGAGTAAAAAGAGGCTCAGGGAGGTTAAGTGAACTTTCTAAATATCACCCTAGTAAATGCCAAAGCCATGAATCAAACTCAGTTCCCTAAACCCCATGTCACACCCAGAGAGTCATCTGTGTGTGTGCATGATGAAAAGGATGTTCATCCTTTCATCCAAAAGAGTTCGTCACTATTTCTGTATGAACTTGGTGATTCTCCTACTTACGGATAGACAGCAAGTACATATGATGTAGCAAAAGGAAAGGAAAACCAATAAAGACATAGCAATGTCAGATGGGCTGTTATTCCAATTTAACAAAAAGTCCTTATGCAAACTCTAATGTGTCTCCAGTATGTTGGGTACCAGGGACACAGTGATGGTAGACATGTTCTGTTCACCCAAAGTTCCCCATCTGGTAATGAAAACCGCATTCAGGCAGCTAACTAAACATAAACAGTGTGGTAAGTACTATAACAAGCTGGGAAACTAAGGCTTAGAGGGAATAAGTAATTCAGCTAAGGCCAACCTAATACAGAAAACGGGATTAAAGGCAGGGATTGGGAGACCAGCAGTCTATCCTATTGCCTCCCAGGCTCTACTGGCTCCATACTATCTCTTCAAGGAATGAAGGAGCCTCAGATTTCTCATTATTAAAATAGGCAAATAACTATCATTTCCATTAAAGGTTACATGAGAGTAAATGAGATATTTGTACTTGGCGAGTAAAATATTCCATGTTAGGTATTGCTATCTTCCCATGCAGGATGAGCTGACCCAACAGCTGCCTCTGGATATTTTAGAGACTGAGAGACTGCTCCAATTGAAAAAAAAAAATTTTTTTGTGCTAGGTATTGAACCCAGGGCCTCAGCCCATGCTCTATGACTGAGCTACCCCCACAACCCAATAAATATTTTAAAAATCTATTTAAATATAACACAATTTTGCCATCTTTTATCTTATGTGCCACACTAAATGTAATGCACTTGAAATGATCTTTTCAGGAACATCCTGAACTCCAAAAACCAATGCCACAAACAGCCCTGCCCCTGAATGACAGCTCTCCAGCCCGAGGCTTGGATTTGATCCCAGTTAACAGTTGCATTTAATACTATTCTTTTAATGAGAATCATATGTGGTCCAAATTACTTGTGAGCCATTTAATATTTATTTTTATTAGGTGCCTCTACTGGTTTGCAATTCAGTTTCTCCTGGTATAGTCCCTGAGGTTAGGCATTTAAAGATGAGTTGGATGAATGCTATGCAGAAGAGCAGAAGGGCAGGCCCAGGTCCTGCCAGTCACAGGTGGCCAAACCACAAATAAAGGACAGAATAGTTTTCTCATTCATTCTTTTTAGTTTATTCAAGAACTGTACCCAGAGGGCCTACCATGTGTGGCTATCTGCTAAGCAGAGGTTATGATAGTGGATTTCAGACAAAGGTAAGCAAACCCCACACCAGCTAATCTGGAGATGTAGCAAATTGCAGTGAAGACAAGAAACAATGGTGGAGCCAAACCAGTGGGTATAAGGCCCATCACTGCCAAGTACTATGGGACCTTGGGACAATCACTTACTCACATGATGTTTCAATTTCCTCATCTGGAATTCACAGTTGTTGCAAAAAATTATATGAGATAATATGTACTCAGAATAATGTCTGGCACACAATAGGAGCTGTATGAGTATTATCCTTCCAGTGGTGAGAAAGGAAGGAAGTTGTGATAGCAGCAATAAAGAAAAAGGGTGTGAGGTAGGGGATAACAGAAGTGGAGAGATAGGCAGAGGAAGAAGGTCTCTCCTAGCCAGAGGGGCCAAGCAATGGCTGTCTGACCAGTTGGCAACACCACTGAGACATGCTGGGTGAAAGGGTTGGGGAAGGGAACAGTCCAGGCAGAAGGAAGATGCTATCTGAAGCCCCCAGGTATGAAAGAAGCATGGCCTCCTGGAGAAGATTGAAGAAGAGATAGGCAGGGGTATTTTCTGTAGGCCACAGCAATAAGTTTAGATTTTATGATAAATGCAGTGGGTTGAGCCATTTTATTCAAGGTAGGGCTGTGATCCAATTAACATTTTATGAAGCTCATTCTGGGGAACAGATTGTTGGAGGAGAAGAGTGGGAGTTGTCATAGATAAGTGGAGAGGCAGTGGTGTTCTGGCCCATGTCAAGGCAGTGAGCTGGAGTCAAACTGCTGAAATTTGGATCTGGAGTGTCTCCCAAAGGCCCATGTGTTTGAAGTTTTGGTATCCGGCTGTGTTGCCATGACAAACACCTGGAAAAAACCAACTTAGAGGAGAAAAGGTTTATTTTGGCTCATTGTTCCAGAGTTTCAGTCCATGGTCGACGGGCTGAAGGCAGAAACATCATGATGGAAGGGCATGGCAGAGCAAAGCTTTTCACCTCATGGTAGCCATGAAGCAGGGAGAGGGTGGGAAGAAGCCAGGGAAGAGAAGTACCCTTCCAGGGCATGTCCCAGTGACCTACTTTCTCCAATTGAAGTCCCACTCCTAAAGGTTCCACCACCTCTCACTGTCAATGAATCCATCAATGGGTTAATCTTCGGATGAGGCCAAAGTCTCATAATCCACTCACTTCCTTAAAATCCCCACCTCTGAACATGGCTATGTTCAATACAGAAGCCTTCAGGAGACATTTCATATCCAAACCATAAAACCAGCTCATAGTGCTATTGGAAGATGGTAGAACTTTTAGGAGGTGGGGCCTCAGTGGAGCAAGTTAATTCATAGGGATTGTGCCATTGAAGGGCCCTCTCTCTTCTTCCTGGCCACCATGAGGTGAGTAGCTTTCTCTGCCTTATGCTCCAGCCATGGTGTATGGTGCTGCCACAGGCCCAAAGCACAGGGCCAACCAACCTGGATTGAAACCTCTAAGACTGTGAACTAAAATAAATCTTTCCTCTTTATAAGTTGTATATCTCAGTTATTCTGTCACAGGGATACAAGGCATTCTGGTGAGAGATCTGTTCTAGACATAGAATTGATGTATCTTGCTGAGGGATTGGACCTATGGTTTTTGACAAGGCATAAGGTAGGCATAGAAGTGCCCCCCAGGAAGCACTGCAGGAGAAAGGCGGGGCACCAGCTCCACCAGGTACAAGAAGAGATGGAGCTTTTGGATCATGCCTCCCCTCTTATGGCTCTGATAATAAGCACAAGTGAGCTGAACACAGTCCAGTGGGCCACAGGGCTTGCTGCACTCTGTTCCCCCAAACCTCCAGGCTCCCCTGGGGGCTGGCTCAGGCCAGACCCAGTGACTGATTTGGCTCCGTGAAGCACCAAGCATTAGAAACCAACAAAGATTTGTTTCCATTTTCTCCAGGAGACAAGACCACAGCTAAATGGGCCCCATAGAGACAAAACAGTCTTATATACCCACAAAAAGACCAAGGACTTGTGGGGAGGGAGGAATCAGGAAATACTAGAACCAGTCCCTGTTTCTCTCTACCCTGTTTCCTCCTCAGGTAGATTTCAGGGACCTGTGCTTTTTCTGAAAAGAGGATTCTTAAGAGAATTCCACTCACCCCTCCTTTGGTAATTTATGAGTTCAAAGGATTTCTCTGTTGACCAAACATTGTTAAAATAATTAAACACTAAAGTAAACATAAAGGTTGCTCAAATCCATGAAGCCATTGAGGCTGGCCCGAAAGTCTCACTATGCTGCTCCCCCAGAGTTCTGAATTACAAATCTCAGTAGAAGGTGAAAGACAGTGGGGTTAGGATTTACAGATTGTTATCCAATACCTCTCAGCAAGATGAATTCGGCACAATAAAACATGTATAGGGCTTTTTATTTCTGTGCTATAGATGATCTTGGAGAAGGAGTGAAATTCCTTCTTGGTTTCCATCTGTGCAGTCAGCTCCCATATTGCAGAAGCACAGGGGTGGTTCGATTTACCCCAAGCAGAGTAAAAGGCCCTCATCCAAAATTTGGGTCGTTCCAACATTTTAAAAGCCCTTCCCCAGAGAAAAACCCAAATCCTCCTGATCTCTTGGAAATTTGGAGCTACCTATTAATTGGATTCTGCAGATTGTATGGGATTTCTTTTTAAAAAAAAATTTTTTTTTACAACTTTCCCTAAATCCAAAGAAGATTCCTCTGGCAGCAGTTGTTTCTCAATAAGGGAGCAGCAGGATGACAGCTTCTAATAGCTTTTTATTTTTTGTGGTACTGGGGATTGAACCCAGGACCTCACACATGTTAGGCAAAAGCACTAGGTGCCTGCCTGCCTTGCCTCAGCTCTGGAAGGCTGTGCATCTGTAAGATCATTACCTGGGTGGAATACCTGGGCGACGGTCAACAAATTCACGTAGTCGTATGGCAGTCATGATGGATGGGAATCTGAAAAAAAAAATACAGAATGAAATTTAATATTGTCAGTTTATACACATTTCCAGGTATAAGCTATTACTAGTGTTTGGATCTGGAATGTTCCCCAAAGACCAATATGTTGAAGGGTTGCCAGCCTTTGGTGCTTTGGGGAGGCAGTGGAACCTTTAGGACGTAGGTCCTAATGGAAGGAAGTTAGGTCATTGGATGGATGCCCTTGTAGGCGTTATTGGAAACCTGCCCCTTCCTCTTTCTCTCTTTGTTTCCTGGCTGCAGTGAAGTAAATAGGCCTTTACTATGCACTCCTGCCATGATGAACTATGCCATCACAGGCCCAAAGCAACAGAGTCAAGTGGCCATGGACTGAAGCTTCTCAAACCGTGAGCCAAAATAAACCTTATCCCTTATTAACTGATTATCTCAGGTATTTTGTTACAGTGATGGAAAGCTGACTAACACAGCTATCTAGCATCACAGAGTCCATCTGGAAAGAAAAACTGTAAAACATTGACATAGTAGAAGGTTTATCCATATCCTTTTTTAGGGAAGAAAACAAAAGAAGACTAGTAAAGAAGCAAAAAGAAGTGGAAAGTATAAGTGAAAAAGTACAGGTATGCTTTTCTTTAAAAACAAAAACAAAAAACCTGTTCTCGAATGTTAGTTGGGCACAGTCTCCTTTCTCACTTCTTAGTGGGCCTTCCTGCTGCACAAGCTTACAAATAAGCACTACATTTCCCAGAGTCTCTACAATTAAAATTCTGATTGTGAAGTTTTGTCCTTCAATCAGATGTGTTTGCACGGACTTGGAAAAAGAAAACAAGGCAGAGAAAATATCTTGCTGCTTTGACCCATTGGCAAGAAAGGCAATAGTGGTTGGCATTGTAGCTCAGTGGTAAAGTGCTTTCCTAAGCACATGTGAGGCACTGGTTTTGATCCTCAGCACCACATAAAAATAAATAAATAAAATAAAGGTATTTTATCCATCTACAACTAAAAAATAAGTTAAAAAAATAAAGGCTATAAAGATATGATGGTTTTCTGCAGCAGAAATCCAGTGTCTAATCTCTAGCTTTGGGGATGTTGAGATTCAGTTGCTACAAAGACAGTGACTGAACTGCATTCTACTGTTCAAACACCAGCTTCATGGGTGTGCAGAGGGAGCTGTAGTGGTATGGTAGTGGCATTGGGAGTGGATTCTTGAACTTGATTGTTCTATAAGCAGCTTTCTGATTTTTGTGGAATTGTTCTAGAAGATTCTTGGAGGCCCTACCCATGTTTTAGTCAAAAATTGATTTTGCAAACTCTTCATTCTCTATTTTAAGCTCCATTCTATTTCCCATACCGATCTCAGACTTAAACATGTATTGTTTCTTGTCTAAAATTTCATATTACATCTGATTATTTACCAGAGAATAATTTACCACGAGCACACAACTGTAATTAAATACACACACACACACACAAATCTATAATAGGAAGGGAAACTGGGGAGGAGGACAAAGATATGAGAAAGCCATGCTCTTTATAGAGTATCTTCTGTGCCTTATTTTGCACTATATGTATATGTTACATTTTCTATATATGAAGACAGCTGGGCCTCTGATTTACATAAACATGGCAACCCGCACAGCATAAGAACATTGGACTGAGACTCTTGTGGCTGGTCATTTCCTGGCTATGCATATTGATTACAGAACTTCTCCAAGGATTAAATGAGGCAATAATGTATGTGAGTGTTCTGTAAACTTAAAAGCACCTTTAAGAAAGGAGAAATATGAGTTTCTATTTAGAGTGTGCATTATGTGTTGAATAGCATGCATTAGCTCCCATTAGCCTCCCAGCAACCCTGCAAAGCAGTAAAACTATTTTCCTCACGAGAAAACAGGTACTAAGAAGTAAAGTAGCCTGTACCAGTTTACAGGGAAACCAGGATTAGAATCTTTTGGCTCCAGAAACATTAATCTTAACAACTGTGTTATATTTAAACAATCCAGAGCACTGAGACCATCAGCCAAAATAAAAGTAGGACTGTTCAAAAGAAGCTAAGAGAAAAGAAACCAGGAGGAAGGACTAGGGGGAAAAAAGTGTGTGATGTCTCCCTCTCCTGCTTTTTATAGTCAAAACTTAACTCACTGCCTACCAGCCAGCTAGCTGATTTATTTCACCTCTGAGGATCATTTTCAAGGCAACTTGGAAATTTACAATGACATTACATTCTAACAGAATAGTTGGCTATCCATAGAAGCCTCTTCATTATATAATGTATTTTACCTTTAGCACTGCTCTGATTAGTTTTTTTTTTTTTTTTTAAGGAAAAGAGAACAAAAGAAAGTTTGGTTACACACAATTGAGTTCTTGTGTGATTTGATACAAACAGAAAGCTTTGTGAGGTTTTACTTCATTAGAAGTGATATGCTAGAGAAAATCTAAGATATCTAGGACATCTATGCTCCAAAGAAAGCACTGATATTGCCCTTGATGATACAGGGATTGCTCAGGGCCTACAAATTCTGAATCAGCATTGTAGGTTGCCATGCTTTGGCCATGCCATACAGTCAGTTTTGGAGGAACACATTAATAATTGTTTTTGAGTCTCAGTTATAGATCTGACATTCTGCATCTCTTAAACACATGAGAAAATGTAGATGGTAATAAGAGGTATCAATACATTTTGTTTTAGTCACTCTTAAAAAAATATAGCCACCAAATCTGAATGTGATTTCCCAAGCATGAACGTGTGGTTAACTTATCAGTGCCCTATCCACAGCCTGTACCACTGCTGTACTCAGAGCCGAGAAAAATGTAACTCTCCTGCCCTTTGTTACTGGCAGCAAAGCCAGGAACACTGCCTGGATCCTGGTTGGCCAGATGCAGCTGCCAGCCCACAAATGAAATAAGTAATAATGTAAAAAGAAAATATGTATTTAATTAAGTTTAAGCAAACTGGGGAGAAGTAGCTATTGTCTCTCTGCCAATCTTGTAGAAGCCATTGCAATTTTGAGTAACAAAAGCCAGGAGATGTGCATGTGTGGATTTACTCAGGCTGTGCTTAGCCAGAGCACATGTCAGTTTTGACCTCCTTGGCGCCTGTTAGGGACAGGATTTAGTTTTTAAACTTTCTAGCCTCATCATGAGGAAGTTTGGGAACTCTCTGTTTCATTTGCAAATATTTACAGCTTTTACTCAATCACCTTCAAAGATTTTGTGGGGCTGGGAATGTAGCTCAGTAGTAGAGCTCTTGCCTAGCATGTGCAGGGTCCTGTGTGTGATCCCTAGTGCTGCCAAGAAAACTGTTTTTTTTGCTTAGATGTGCCTCATGTAAAATTCTTCCAGAGCAGATGCAAGTTCAAGCTTAATCTTCCATCCCTTACCTTTTATTTGATTTCAAATTAACCGTAAGAAACTTCTGTGGTTTGGATCTAGAATGTTCCCTGCGTCCCATGTGTTAGAGACTTGGTCCACAGCTTGGTGGCCCTGGGAGAGGGTATAGCCTTCAGAGGTGGGGCTTATAGGAGGACTTCCAGTTATTGGGAGCATGTCCCTGAAGGGGATATTTGGGCCCTGAACCCTTCTTCTTCTCTCTTGTTCTTTCTCAGCCAAAGAGTCAAAAATTTTGCTCTGTCACGCTGTATTCCCACCTCAGGCCCAAAGCAGTGCCAGTCATATACTGGAACCTCCACAAATGTGAGCCAAACTAGGTCTTCTCTGTTTATAAGTTGATTATCTCAGGTATTTTTTTTATAGTAGTGGAAAGCTGACTAATAGAAACCTTAAAACATTTTTCTTTTTTTAAGACATAATAAATTACAAAACATAATATGTCCTGAGAACATAATGTTATAAAAGAACAGTAAAACAATCCATAATTCTACCCAATAATGGCTACTCTCATGCACATATAGGTACATATATATATGTACCTATATATATGTACATACCTATATATTTGAAACCACAGCAGATTTTCTACTTCATATTATTTTTAATTTAACAATATATAATGAAAATTTTTCCCACATTGCTGCAGCATGTTCTTAATTCTAATATTTAATGTTCTTTTACGCTGTTTGGTAAGGTCATACATCACCTTATTACTTATTATTTATTTGGTGCTAGTTATGGAACCCAGGGACTCATACATGCTAAGTACCTGTTCAACCACTGACCTATACCCCACCCTCATGACCTTATTTAAAATGAGATCCATCTCTACCCTTACCCCTGGGATTCCTTATTCCTGCTATATGCTTTATTTTTCTCCAGAACCCTTGGGATTTTCTGCCTTACTGAATATTTATTTATGTATGTTGTTTTTAATGTCCTGCTACCTAGTTAGAAAGTGAAGTGCATGAGGGCAAGAAGATGACATTCCCAGTGCACAGAAATTAAAATTTAATTTTAGAACCTTTTATTTATGCTAGTGTTCAGAAGATGAACTAGGGTCAATAAATTTAAAAATGAACTTTCTTAAAGTTTAATGTTTAACATGGTCACTGTGAGAACCAACATATAAGATGCATTTTGTCAACTTTCTCAGCAACTTTTTGGTATTATATGACATATTATTGATTAAGTAAGATTTCCACAACATAAATAACAGTAAAAAATACTAAAAATCTGCCCATTCACAGCAAAATCTGCGAACAAACTATGAGGAAACTTTCTTAACTTAATAAAGAACATGTACAGAAACCTACAGTTAACCTCATACTTAATGGTGAAAGACTGGAATAGTTTCTTTCGAAAACTGGGAAAAATAAGAATGCTTACTCTCATCACTCCTATTTAACAAAATGCTAGAATTTCTAGCCATTTAAATAAGGCAAGAAAAGAAAAGAATATAGATGGAAAAGGAAGAAAACTATTTATATTTGCAAATAATGTTGTTGTCTATGCAGAAAATCTCAAGAAACCTAAGTCCTAAAACTTGTATCTATGCATAGCAAGACCACAAGATACAAGATCAACATGTAATAAAAATCATTTATATACTGTACTA